TAAGAGTCTTAGTGTGAGTCATTTAGGGGGAAAACTATTGTTTTATCATATACAAACAGTAGATTTAATATACTGCAAAATCATTAGATCAAGCAGTTTTTACAATTTAATTGGCTGTGACGTTCCACTCTGAAAGAGGAATATAGCAAGTTAAAGCAAATACTCAAAATTCTGTATCCCTGCCTGGTAGTCAGAAGGGGGATAAAACCAACTTAAAAACAAAACAAAAAAGCACCGCAGTAAAGACTCAGGCTTGATCTTGCTAGAGCTTCACCTGCAATTCGCTGTTGAAGCTCTGCTGAATGCTTTCATTATGGGGCCAATTTTTTGAAATAAAGTAAATGTTATTGAGGTCTGACTCTGATTACACAGATGTGTATCAGACTTGTTGATGCTTTTGTAATTTTCTTCATTCCCTCTTCTGTGAATCTGTGCTTGATACTTATATTTAGACATCATATCTGATTACTTTCTGTTACAGCTCTATCCAGCCTTCTGGTTTTCTTTTACCATTGCAGTGCAATCCCGGGATTGATCTATTTTTCTCTAGATTTTTATATTCCCATGTTTTTCTTGCCTGTCACCAGGCATATATTTTGCATGAGTTACAAAGTGACAGCACCTAACTTGGCTTTTTTGGATCCCTGGACAAAGGTCGATGTCCAGAGAATGGAAATATTCAGGAAACTGGAAACATTATGGCTTAGTTTTTGGCTTTGCACTTCAAACATGTAAAGAGCTTGTTACGGTTGTAATTGTCCTTTAGATGGTAATGGTCTGGCAGCGTACTGCGTACCTGGAAATTTAATCTATGGCCAACTTCTCTACAGTGTAATTTTGGACTTGTCTGACTTGTTTAAACCTGTGCAGATGTTTCCTGCCGTCTGGTGACGGCAGAGAACCTGTGTGCTGGGAATTGAGGATGGGGCAGGGGATGCCCCTGCTGTGCCCAGCATACCTCCACAGCTCGAGGTTATCAAATCCCCTCCGTCTCTTCCTGCCCTCTCCCCCAGCCTTCAGCCACCCGAACTGGGAACACCTCATGCTGTCACTGCTTGTTGTGGCCCTGCGAACCGCAGCTGCATGTGTGGATGCTGCCAGCCAAAATGTAGCATGTCTAGCTCTGCTCCCACGTCCTCAGGATGGGTGCTAAGACCTGGTACCGAAACTCTCCTGTCCATGACACAGGCACTGATATGAAGCACTGAGACATCGGTCATTCTTGCACACGCAAAACACCTGGTGTGACATTTTCAAGCGTTGTCCTTGCTGTGCTCTTACTGGTACCAATATTCATGTGGCTTTGGGAAGGGGAAGAGGGAAGGTGTCCTTTAGAGCAGTTCTGGAAATCCTTCCTTTGAGGATTAGCTGGTTTCCAGAGGGTTAATGCGTTTTGTCCCCCAAACCTTTTCTTAGAAAATTAAAACAAACATTAATCTCTGGATGTGGAGGCTTATGACACTTTAAATATTCAGTGCAGTCAGTAACACTTTATAGTGATAAGGTTGTGATTTCTGTGTTTGATCATTAATGATTTATGAAAATTTAGTAAATGGTGAAGCACAGTTCCCTCTCAGCTGCAGACTGGAGTCTTCTCCCTGTGCAGACTTGTGTGCTTAAAAAAGTCATGCAAAGTTGCTCCCATCCCTCTAGATATTTTCCATACGCAGTCCCCAGAAGAGCATGGGTTGAGATGAGGGAGATGCATGAAGTACTTAGTTCAAAAGCAAAGCCCCCTTATCTTATTCCTGCCCCTTCAGCAGCTGTAAGCAACACAAGCCAAAACCTTGGTGTGACAAACTGGAGTGCCCAGGAGAGTCCCTTTACTTGTCTTTAGTTTTCCTGCCTCAAGACAAATGGCTCAGACCTGACAAATTTCCTCATACCTGAGCCCTCCTCATCAGCTGAGAGATGTAGCGCGCTCAGGGAGAGCTGAACACGGTTGTGCTGGAAAATGCTTGCACTTTGGGTGGTGCAAGTAGTCCTTGACATGAATCCTAAACTTGGAAGAACTTGTTTTGTGCTTTTTTCAGCTTCTCACCATGCAGCAAAACTGGTGTTACCTCTGTGTTTAAGAATGGTAATTGGGTAATTGAAGACTTAATGAAAAAGATACAGGTTGTGTTCTGCACTAGTCTTCTGATAATTTTATCTTGCATGTCTGTCTTCACTTTTTCCCCCTTTACAAGAATCAATGCCTTCTCCTTGGCTTCCATTCATTCTTTCACACATGCACAGAACTGAGAATAAAACTTCCAAATTTACCCAGAAATTACAGTTTCGGTTTTCAAAAGCGGGGATGGCAATTTACAGACATCCAACATAGATATGTTGGTTTAGAAAGTATCATAACCATCTGCTATCTGAAATGCCAGGTTTGATTTGGATATTTCAAGCTAGATGCTATGTCCACAATCATTGGTCTCTTTTAGAAATGTAGGTTTCTAAGTTCTTGTAGAAATAAAGAAGTGATGAAAAAAGCATGCATTTTATACATTGCTCATGTTTTCGTTAAATTTGAATAGCTTTTATGGGAATTGACCTCTCAGAAGATGAACAGAGTATTCACAAAGAAACAAAACCCTGTCTGGTTAACAGATTCCAGTCAGTTCTTACAAATCTGTTATACTTCGCTGTAAAATTCACTGGAGTTTCATGCTAACTCTACAGATTTCATCTTGAGCTTTAGATTATGCTGTCATTTAGACTATGCGTTAGTTGAGGTACGAGTGATTAGAAACAGGTTGCTGCTTCTGCCTTCTTTTTTCAATATTTTGCTTAAATGTGTGATTTTCTTTGTTTCAAAGACTTGTCTAACATAGCCCCTGTTGAAATTGAATGGAAAAATATGTCTTGGGAATTCATCCTGACCCTGTAATTTTGAGTCTGAGACAACAGCGCATGTGACGGAGGGTTATGGTTGTTTTCCTGGCAGAACATATGTGAGTATTCAAACACTAATGTTAGCCTGCCAGTGGTTGCTGGTAGGGTTTCCTTCTCTTGCTGGCCATCATGCCACTGGCCTCTGTGCTGGGCAGCCCCTTGGCGTGCCAATTTGTGAGCCCTGTGTACCGGCTCCAGAGTTTCTGGTGTAGGTTTCTTAGTCTGTAAATTGCTAAGTCCATAGTAAGCGCCGCTTATTATTAGTGCTTTGTATCAGTTCACATAATGCGGAAGTTCAGATGTCATGTTTGGATCTTTCCCAGTCTGCATTGTTTTCCCCATGCCATATACTTTCCATGGATGGTATAGGTCAAGATCACACATTTTTTGCTTCAATTTGTTAATGCTCAAGGACCTGCTTATATTGCTGGCATACCATTTTTTTTGTGCTGGTATTTATTGCTAGCAGTGCTTGGTCACTGCCTTTTTGCCTTCATCACTAAATCTCCTGAGACTTCTGTATTATAGAGTGAAGAGTTTTGCAGAGGGTTATTCAAAGTTTCCAGTTAGGCTTCTAGTGCGAGTACCTTTGCTAGAATAAAGTTAATCTGTGTGAATATTCTGTGTCTCAGCCTCAGCTCTCTTAGGTGAGCTCTAGAAAAGTACTTTTTTGTGTAGCAGTCTACGGTAAAGCATTAGTCGGCCACTCCGCAATACTGATAATAGTATTAATCTTTAAAGAACAGACCTTCAAAAGAGCTGGGTTCACTTTCTTCTTGTTGATTTTGCTGGGAACTGGGAATTCGGCACTCAACCTTTGGGAATGAGTCCAGATGAAACTCCAGACGGCCTTTCATGGACTAGTCCAGCACTGCTTGTCTGGCAGAGTTTTCTTTTGTTTGATACCTAATAACTGATTGCCTCAGTTCTCATGAGAAAAACTCTGTTTGGGTTGTCAGTGTATGAGAAAATTGAGGGTGTGTACGTAACTGGGAAGGCCCTATTACCATGTCTGCATACCTAAAGTTGTAAAACATGATCTATGGTAGCACAAAATTTAAAATTTGGTGGCATCCCAGGAAGTGCTTAATTGCGTTTGTGCTTCATTACAAGGCTGTCTCCTTTTCTGGAATTTATTTTAGCTAATTAGTTGGAAATGTCAGAGTAGTATTTCAGATGACAGAAACATCATATATTATCATACATGAAGCAATTAACTCTTTTTGACAAATATTTATTGTGGTGTCGTCTTTAATTAAATCTTCAGTTCTCCTAGACATAGAGCAGGTTCTTCCGAAAAGGAGGCCTGCCCAGCACTGTCAATGAGCATTTGACTGATGGGGCTTAATTGAACTTGCTACTGAAAGACTTGGTGGCCTAAGCATGAAGATATCGTCATGACACAATCTCACAATACAGATGTCTGATATTTTGGCAAAATCCAAAAGCAATCCCACCCCCCCCGCCCCCTTCAAACTCTGTCTCAGATAGCGCCGATTCATTATGCTGGAGAAGAGGCATCTCCAGTCACTCCCGTTCTTCCACTGGAACGGTTTGCAGGAGAAAAAAATGCCGTGCACTTGTGCTGCTAAGATAAATAATGCTGAAAAGCAGGGCTGTATATATGTTTTAAAAAATCAATTTTTTTTTATTTAGTTCTTGGGGTTATTCATGTGGAAACATGTTACAAATGTGACTGTTTGGTTAGTTCCTCTTAAACAGATAGGTCTTGTAGATGATGTGGCACTGAGAAATAATTCCTGACAGTTATAACTGAACCAGATAAACAGTTCTGCCAGCTTCCAAATAACACTGTAAAACAAAAGGGTTCTGCTTATCGTTTTCCATTTCTTCATGCCTGTCAAACTATTTAACTGTGCATTACCCATCACAAAAGGTCTCTGTGTTATTCTGCTCGTCTGCTGCGGTCATGGTTTTTACCTTCTCTGTTGCAGGACCTACTACGGCACTCTCGTCCAGCTTTCTCTCTCCTCTTCATCTTTGCCCTTGCAAAGACACTCTTTGGAAGTGCTGCATGAGATTTTTTCCTGTCACAGCCATTCAGCAAATGTATTAACCTGTATGTATGTTCTTTTTTTTTTTTTTTTTTTTTTCAGGCAGAAACAGCACTGGAGAGTGGCCGGGATGGTCCCAATGTTCAGATCAGCTCAGGGCAGAACAACTCGGACCCCACGGGAGCAGGCAGTTCAGCAGCCTCCCAGAGCCTGGTTGCTCCAGCCGGGGTCTCGGCGGGTACCTCAGCTGCAGCTTCGTTCTTCATAAGGTAGTTTTTCACCTTTCGGGTTTCTGTAACTGCTCATGGGCCTTCAAATGGTTGTGAAATGCTGTTGAGTCTTTGCCATGGGTAGAAGGTGTAGCATTTGGTGCTGGTTGCTGAGAGGTGCAGTTGGTCACCTGGTCATGACTGTGGCTTTCCGCTGCCACTGGGGAGCAAGGATGTGATGATGACACCCATGATTTCTCTCTGGAGACCTGAGCAGGAACTCTATTGCCTAAAACCGGAGAAAATGTGTGTTGGTCTTTGTCTAGTCCTTACTGGCCTTTTACACCTGTAAAAAGTCTGTTATTCTGTAGGTTTCCTTGGAGCAGAAGCTGAAGTAACAGTTTTTTTTTCCACTCAGATCTAAATAAAAAAAAAGTTAAACTTTTATTCAGTAGCATGGCCAATGTGTCCAAATAAAAGTCTTTCCATAGTTGGTAGCAACCGTTAAAACAGTTGCAGACATTCTTTTTTTAGCGGTAGCCCAGAACAATCTTTTTTTTCCCCAATCTTGGGTCTTATAACAAAAATGATATGTTAGTTTTATTTGTGAAATGTTTGTTGTAATTAGCAATGTTGATTAAATGCAATACGCTGTCAAGCAGATGGTATTTAAAACAACAAAATTCAGGGCTTTGTACTTGCATTCCAAACTCCTTTTTTAATTCAGAACTGAACATGTTTTGAGACAGTATTGAAAAACGTATGTCTGCGAATGGCATTAAAGTCAAATTTATGCACTGAGTGAGGATCCTTCTTGTCATGTAATCATGATGGTAATTGTATTGTTTCCTTTTCCTTGAGCTTTAAAATGTTTTGCACCATTAAAAAAATGATGTTTACTATAAGTTACAGTCTGACCTCAGAAGGAGCAAAACTTCCCACGTCCTATTTCTTTAGAAGAACGTAGTACAATGAGTCTTAAGCATTATATGCCTATATGTCACAGTCTGTCTGTTCACAAGAGGTTGGGAAATGACTGCCCCAGGAGTAGTGTGTGTAAGTTAGTGTTTTGTGTCTGTGCTAAGTGCTGCAGGTTTAAAGTCAACAAAGAGAAATGGTTGCCTACAGAAGATGGTTTGTTTCATTTTAAGATAGGTGTCTGAAATCAGTGGGAGCGGAGAGGAAAGGTAAGGGGAAAAGCTCAGACATCTCTTTTCTTGTTTAGTTACCTAAATAAGGACAGATGAATCATCTCCAAAGTACCTAGACTGGACAGCAGCACAGCTTTCATTACTGTATTTCATATTGTGGGTATGAACAGTCTGATTTAGCTTAATCTACTTTGGATTTATTTCAGTGTGAATCTGTATGTCATAAGCAAATGTAAAGACTGTCACTTTCACTTGGGAATCCAGAAAATAAAAAAAACAACCACCTTTGGAATTGAGAGAAAGAAAGCAGTGCCTAATAATCTGAAATAAGATGCAAAATCTCTTCTCCCACTGATGTTTCTGTCACTGGTCAGCAAAACTCAGTTCTGGTTTTATTGTAAAGCGACAGATCCTAACTAGTGATTGTCGTTGGCTCGATTCAAAGATTCTTGAAGTCAACAGCAAAACTGCAAATGACATCATTGTACATTGGATCAGGCCCTAATTGCTTCTCATGAATCTGTCTTGCCTTGAGTGAATCAGAGTTTTATACCTGCAGCAGCTATGTGCTAGCTAAAACATTTTAAAACCCATTAGTACATTGCTTATTCCCTACCCATGTTTCCTCTGTTCAGAATTGATTCTCTTCAGTTTTTTTTTAACCTAAGAACAGGGCTAGCTGCAATTTTTTTTTCACAGAGCACTTACATTTCTTTTTTTGTGGTTGTTGTTGGAGAGAGAGACTTAAGCGAGAAATAAATTTTTTCCTTTAACAATCATCAGTTATCTGAATCAGTTTTGTAGCATTTTCATGATCTTTCATCACATTGCTGATTAATGTATTTCAGTATTAATTTCTCAGTATTCCAGAGCCTGTCTAAGAATCTTGCATTCCCTAAAAGCAAGCATTCAAGGAACAAGTTCAGATATGGCTGTGATTAAAAATACAAATTGAAAATCTCTCAAAGGCTGAGGGAGAGAGATTGATTATTGATCACTGGCAACCATAAGTATGTTGAGCAGGTCCTCAGGTGGATGCCATTGCATAGTCCTGGCCAGGCTGCTCCACCACAATCGTCATTAACCTCAGGAGAGGGTCCCTCTCCTGCTGGTCCTTCTTCTCTTCTGACTCTTCCTGGTATAGGGACCTTACGGATCAAAGTTCCCATGCTGAGACTTCCTCCTACCCTCAAGCCATGCAGCCCTCAGCAGGAGGGGAGAGGAAGAGGAGGAAATCTTCAAGGATAAGTGAGACAGATGCCAGCAGAAGCTGGGGTGGAAGTGGCTTATCCAGGGACCACAAGTATTGGGATATCAACTGTGTTGGCTGTTTTTGTTCAGTATGGGTGGGATATCAGGCGTCTTTGCTTTCCAGTCGTGTCTCCTCTTTCCTTTTGCACCATTCAGCCTCAAGCATGTTGAGAAAGAAGGTCATCCCTGCCTTGAATCCTCTGCAGCAGCATCCACTTCTCTGTCCTTTGTCTCTCTCTTCAGCTTACCCTCTCTCAGCAAGCACCTAAAGACGAAAAAGTAGTCATGGCACTAGTGTTACGCTGTAGTCCCTATTCATTGGATTTGCTGATTCTTCCCTTACCGTGTTTCTCTCCTCAGGCACTTAAATTGTGAACTTCATAGCAGGGCAAGTGTGTTACTCGTGTTATGCAGAGCCCAGCACATTTTGTTCTTTGTTCTCTGCGGGAATAAATGCAATGAATATGTTGATAATTACACACACTTTTTTTTTTTTTTTTCCTGAATCATTGCCTTCTCTTTGACCAAATCTACTGAGTACCTTCATCTTTTTACAAGAGCCCATTTGTAAAAGGGGCTGTGTTTGGGACTTAAGCGTGGGAAAAGGGCTGTTTTGGCATAGAAATAGCCATAGGCAAAAATATGCCATAGCTAGGCAAAAATATGTCTGTACGTTAACATTCAGTGTAAGGTGCAAGGTTAGTTACTTCAGAAGACAAAGCCTTCATAGGGTGCTTGTGGAAACTGCATCTGTGATTTCCTTAGCAGCAACAACACTAGATACAGGGTTTTTTTTTTTCACATGCATAAAGGATTCCAGTCTTGTTCCTCATGAAACAGAATAAACTGTGTTTGTACAGGTCCTAGCACAATTAGCTTTTGGGCTGTGGCATGGTTTCCTGGCAGCAAATAAATGTCGTCTTCACATTAAAACTAGAGTCTCTCTTTGGTGAAATAACACCCTTTGACTCTTGCTTGTGGCCTGCTTGTGCCTGAGAAGGGAGGAGGTTTGTGCAGGTTTTTTTTGGTTGGTTGATTTGTTTTTCACTCCAGTTTGTTTCTTGGTGAGAGTCATAGCTTTGCGTTTGTAAGGTCACAAACTCAAAAGACCGTACAGAGAATTCATGTCCTCACCTCGAAAGTAACAACCAAGAGCTGCAGCAAAACGTTTACCTGGTGATAAGAGGTACCCATGGTTAAAATGAGTATCTTTAAGATAGTCTTTGCAGTGAAGGCATTCATTTTGTTAAGCGTATGTGCAGCCCAAATCTACATATTCATTCAAAGCTCTTTCTCATTTGAATGTCATATTTAATTTCTTCAAGCTTAATTATGTTCTGCTTTCCAAAAAAAAAAAAAAGTATTTTATTCATTACCTAGAAATGCAGAGTGTCTAGCGTGGAAGTGCTAAGTATTCAAAATCAAAGCCAAATATTAGAGCCAGCAGACAGAAGCGTATTAAGAAATTAAATCAGTTTTAAGCTTTTTTCCTCACTCTGATCTGTCATAGAAGGAGGAAAGCTTTGATTAACATCTGACTGTGTCACACAAGCAAATTCCCAGACATTACTCAATGGTCATGTTACTGAAGGACCAGAGGATTTAGCAGAAAATGCAGCTTCTCAGTAGGTCACTGACAAAATAAGAAAGCCGGAGCAAAAAGTGCAGCTCATGGGCGTGGGTGGCAGTGAAAAGGCTCCCAGTTTACCCTTAAAATGCAGGAGGAGAAGTTTAATCTTGCATTCTTCAGATTTAAGAGGAATGCAGCTGGGCTTTGTTGCTTGGTGTGGAATGAGCCGTGCCTTGCTTAGTGCTCCCTGCTTTATACCCGTTTCCAGGTTGTTTTTTTTTTTTTTTTTTTTTTTTTTTAATGTATAAGGAACCTGAACAAACTTTATATTATTGAGTGAAAATATGTGAGATAGTTGTAGGACCCTTCTCTGGGCTATGCATGCAACTAAGTAAATATTGGCTTATTGTGGTATAAAGTTGTGTAAGCTGTTGGGCTTTTTGTCAACTGGACACCTGGGGAAGAGAGGAAATCATGTTTCCAAGAACAGGCAGGAGGAGGGCAGCGAGGAGGAGGAGAATGGGCATGCACTTGCAAAGAGGTTAATGGGCTGTCTGCCAAAAAAGAAACCACCACTCCCTCGGGAGGAGAATCAGGGACCCCCGAGAAATCAAAGCCGCCACCATTAAGGTGACATTTCCGCCTGTTGGTGGCTGGTGACAGTGGTGGCAGGCACCGCCTGTGCTGCTGGGTGGGAGTACGGTGTTTCGGTGAGATCGTGGGTGTCTGGCCTGGATGCGCAAGGGCGAGCTGGAAGGAAGGTTTGAGCAGTGACAGGGCAGCTAGGAGAAACCAAAGCTGTTTAGAAGAAATAATGATGTATAAAACCAAGCAACCCTGGGCAATGTTGAGTAGAAGACAAACTGTGTTAAGCCTCTCTTCTTAAATTTTAATCTTGCTTGATGTTGGGTTATTTTCACATCTTTTCAAACTGGTTTGGTCACAGGGTTGTACTTGCTGCCATGGGACTGCTCCCTTTGCAGCAGGGAAATAGCTGTATAGTTGCAGCTACTTTCCCTTGCATCCGCCTGCTTTTGTTTGACGAATTAGTCTTCCAAACATAGCACTCGCCATGCACTCAGTAGTTT